ACTGCAGCTAGATGAGGGAGATTCGCATCAAAGCCGACAACGGCGATGCTGGCCAGAAGGTTGGATGAGCAGTCAACTCAAACATTTGGGCGAGAAGGGCGATTGAAAGTCGTGCAAGAGGTCTTGTCTTGCTCACATTCGCGATTTAAATTAGGTTCTCATGTCCAATTTGAATGTTCACAATTGACGCGTTCTACGTGAATCCCACCGCACCGCTGAGGCAAAAGAAACACCTGCTAGGCATTGCGGCACGTGATTGCCTGATTTTGAAAAGCTGCGCCGTGCCTGCCTGCATGCATGCATGGCATGACATCTCGGCAAGCCCGCGTGCTGTGTTGTCGAGTCTGCAGCCTGGCCGATTCATCCGATCGGGCCGAAGCTGCTGCACAACAATCATGAATGCACGGACTCAGACTTAGCAGGAGCTACAGTCAGCAGAGTCACGGTCGCGCGGTCCTTCAACTGCAAATTACGCTCACGATGCTTTCACTTCACCTACGCTAGCGCCAAATTTGGGAGCATCGCATGTCAAAGTTCATATACTTCCGATTCAACACCCCCGGTCAAGCGAGCTCTGCTGATGCCCTGCTTACGCGAGCAAAGTGGAGGGCATTGCTAGCATGAGAGACGAGGCCGAGCCGATGCTGTCCTGCAATGCGAATCGAAGTAGGCGCGGCGCGTGTGCGCGATCAGAATGGAGAAGAGCGGACGGACCCGTGGGCTCCTGCATGCCGGTACGGCTACATGGGCCTGACAAGCAATCTTGTCCAGCGGCAACAATATTGTCACCTGCCTTTTGCCAATGTCTGAATCGCACTGACGATGCCTGTGCGTGCACCATCGCAGAGTCCACCGTCTGACGGTGCTCAGAGAGCTGCGAGTCGTTAGGCGCAGCTCAGCTCTCTACCTTCACCCCAACATGGAGATCTAAGAGCTCTGTGCCCACGCCACAGAGCGCTCTCCTCATCATGTCGACCTCACTCGCTTTGCAAGCCTTTACCGCATCCCTGGCGGGCATCGCGATCTACGTGTCCAACAACGATCCCAGCGGGTCTATCGAGAAGCCAGCGGCAAGCTGGGCCTCAGGCGAGGAGCAGCAGGAAGACCGCATCCTCAAGCCGAAAGATTCCCAGTCGATCATCCGCCAGGTAGAATATTTCCTGTACATGAAAGGCTCCGCCATATCCGGTGGCGCTCAAGGCGTCTTCTTGTTGAAGCTCTTCTTGGATTCTCGCAATGTGCGACCGATCGATCTGGTGCATGCGCGTCCTTCAAACGCATACTTGACGGCCATCACCCCACTCTACATCAGCACCATCTTCGCCGGTGCTACACGGTATTGGTGCTACAGGGCATTGAAGGAATTCTTCACCTTCCGTCTGCAGATCAAAGACGAGCAAAATCTGGTCAAGACCGGACCCTACAAGCACCTCGCTCATCCTTCTTATTTCGGTCTCTTCTTTGCTTACATAGGCATGACGACTGTCTTGCTGGGACCTCTCAACGTTCTCGTCTATTTGCTGGACGATAAGCCGCTCTTCGAGTCAGCCACTTATGCTTTGCCTTCTTGGCTGGTGGAAATTGTTGGAGGCGTCAAAAGCATCAGTCTCAATCCTCGCGGTATTGCGCGCGCTGTGCTCTGTCTCGAAGCAATTCAGACGCTGAGGACAGGGCTGTGGGTCGTTCCAACAAGGATTGCCGACGAGGAGAGCATGATGCGCAAGCATTTTGGTCAAGAGTACGACGATTACCTCGCCAAGCGATGGAGAGTGTTTCCATTTGTCTGGTGAAAGAGAAAATTTCGAACGTCTGCCACGCGCGAAAGGCAGCAAGGTCGACTACCCTCACGACCGCAAGCGTGATATCGACGACGCGGCCGGGGCCGCGCTGGGCCCACAGATTATTTGCCTGCCACTTGCACGGGCGCCGCTTCGAGACTCCCTTCGTCACGCACCTGATGCTGTATGAATACTAATGCTGCATTCGAGCAACACAATACCAAATGCATCTATTGACGCCACATGTCGACTACAAACTGCCGCGCTTGCTCGTTGACCTTGGCTTTGCACTTCCTTGTCTTTTGATCCAAGAAAGCGTCCGGGAAGGTGACGAAACCGTGCGTCATGCCCTTGATGCGATGCACCCGCACCTTGGCAGACGAAGCCTGCAGAGGTTGCGAGATGAGGCTGCCATCCGTATCGGACGAGATCTCCGCCTTGTCTGAAGCCTGCAATGCTTTGACCCAGATTTCGGACTGCTCTGACAGATTGTCCAACTCTGGGAGAATGAGAATGGCGCGTGTGCTTGGGAGCATGCAGTCGAGCTGTTGAGACTCGGCGTCGTCAGTCGCATCTTTTCGTGTAGGCAAAGTCTCGTCGACAGGAGTGGTGACTTCGGGCAAGAGTCCCGCTTCTCTGGCAGCCTGCTTGCGGACTTCTATCTCTTCTCGCGGCCCTCCTGGCACTCCCAGAGGCGCCAAACCAGGACTGGCACGTAGATGAGCCCGCAGCTCCATCGGCAAGTACGCCTGATCTGTAGCTCTCTCCAGAAACAATCCTATTTGACCTGGTGGTGGCAAGCCCTGTGGCCTGGTCCTCTCAAAGGGGGACTGTCTAGCA